ATTCTACTGTCAATTTTAGATCTGGAGGAATTCTAGTGGCTTTGAGTGAGATTGTCCTGACTCCCCTTAAGGCAGGCACAACCTGGCACATTCACTTGATGTAACTTTATTCCAAATTCATGGTTTGTGCAAGTTAGCAGTAAAAAGTACAAGGGATATTTTTAAAAACTATTTGAATCTGTGAGATGACAAAGCCAGCCCTTAAGAACATGCAATCTAAAGTCTTCCCATTGAGAAGGCTGACAAGGTTGGGCACTTGCTGACAGCAGTTATCTTTCTTGGGTCAGTAGAAACACATTCCTTATTCAAACATGCAAAGAGAAGACACTTTACATTAGGAAATGCTGACATTTCTTGGAGTTTAAATTGTTCTCTCTTGTCACACGATCAGCTGTCATCTTAGAAAAGGTATTTCTAGAAATAGGGAGGTCATCCCAACACACAGCTCCCTAAGCCAGCTATTTCTGCTGGCAAGTATTCGATTAGTTCCCCAGCCTCTGTTACAGGCCCATTACAGCCAATCTTTGACATTTTTGGTAATAAATACAGCCTGCTATGGCCTTTAGAGGGAAAAGCCTATTAGTCTGAAGATGGTGTTTGAGACCCAGACCCACACATGCTTCCCAAGGCATTGTGGAATTCCCACACGACCTTTCAAGGACTTATTTAAAAGATGACAGAGAATGGCAACCTGCTTCAGTAGGGACCTGCAAACAAGACAGACTTCAGAGCAAGTTCTTCATCTGAGGGGCCTTCTGCCAAGTGAATGTCAGGTCTATGGCATGATCTTTACGGGAGTATACACATTAAATTTAATTTTAAAAATCTGCTTCTTTCTTGCACCGAGTAAAACAAAGCACTCACCCTCTCCCAGAGGTGTGTGGCATCCCCTAGCACATGATAAGTTACTGCATTTTGAATCTTGGAGCCTGTGATACTGATGTGCTGTCTGCTGGGGGACAGCCTTGGTGACTAAGCACCCACTAAATGTACTGTAGTACCGAGAACTTTAAACTTTTGTGTATGCTTTTATACAAAACTGCTTCCCTGCAAAATGGGTCCTATCTTGTGTTTAGTTTAAGTTACATCACTCACACACACACAAAAAAATCCTCCTGAGTCAATAGGGTTACACACTGGGGTCTGTCCTAATCCTTTATCCGAATGACTTTGATCCTACTTGTTGATATGATTCCTTAAATCTCATGGACGTCTTCTTTTCTAGATCTCCATTAACCATTTGGAGTTTTTCCTCCCTTTTGTGGTACAATATGTAGCATAAAGTATCCTCAGCCTGTGACTGGGGCATTTTGATGGGGCCAGTTGAGATGAAATAAAGAGTGCTTAGAAAAGTGTTTTCCTCCTGTTGTGGATAAGCATGACCTTCTGAGTTGTTATTTTAAATTATCTTTATCTGAAAATAAAATTTTAAGGCTTTCATCCAGAGCCAGGGCAAAGTACAACAATAAAAGCATCCTACGGTCCACGACTGTTCCAGAAAAATCTCACTAAACTCCCACTTTCCAACATTTCACAGGCATTTTCTGAGAAAGAAAAAAAACATTTCTGTGAAACATTTTAAGTTTGGGGAGAAAAAATGTCTGCTATTTGTTCAAGCCTTTTTAGATTGCCACAATGTAATTATAAGGAACATGAAAACAGCATGTGTTTTTATTTCCTTTCCAACCCACCTCACCAGCCTTCTGCTGGTGCATACCTTTAAAATATTCAGTACTGAGAAAAAACACATAGAGAGCAAATATGGGAGTGCTTGACATTTATTGAATATATAAAATATTTATAGAATGTGTATTTAAAGTGCCTGACATTTTATACATACATGCATACATATTTCCAATCTTAATGTATTACATCTGTCTGCTTTGGGGTGTTAAGTTGTCCTTATTTGCGGCATCTTACCTGTGTTTAATACTGCACAATTTCTGCCAAAATAATTATGCAAATTATTCACTTTAATGGTGTCCTTAAGGAAAATAAGGGCACACCTCTCCCGCTGTAGGAAAGGTGTTGGTGAATGAGTTGCAATTGCTAAGTACATCCGGTTTTGTGTGAAACTCAACACCCAGATACGCATATACTGAAAATGAACCATTATAAATATAATAAAAAAAAGCAACCAAGCACCAAACTTTCTGTCAGTCTGAAAAAACACCAGCAATTAAAAAAATAACAGTAAGAGTGACGAGGGGAGAGGAGCACCCGTTCTGCTGGAGAATGAAAAGCTGCAGGCAAGTGGGGTCAGGGTCCTGGAGCGTCTGTCGTAAAGAATAACACGTGTGAATCCGTGAATTACAAGTCTATAAATTAATTGCAGGCTTCTGCTGACATCACAATAAACTATGCTAATGAAGATTGAGTAGTTTATAATTTTGTCAGAGCTCTGAAAAATGACATGGTTTATAAACTAAGTAGATACTGGTGTTTTTCAGTGAGTCTGTTGAATAAATTATACTAGGATTCTAGTGTAAAAAGAGAAAGTATAAAAAATTAATATATGAATGTGATTCTGTTTTAATTTTTTTTTATTAAAATTTTTCTTACATAAAGACTTTGTTTATTTCTCCTTGAGCCATAGTATCAATGGTGATTCTCCATAACTCTGCAACAAAACTGTCTTTTTCATCTATCCCTGATTTAAGTGATATTAATTTTTTTAATCATCTTAATCATCATCCTACTCAATAGTTTTCCCTTATGAGTGATATTTTACTTGACAAATTGTTTACAAAATTTCCTGTATTGTGTCTGTGTGGTCTGGAGACCCTGATTTAATGTCTGTATGGCCACAGAACAAGAAGAGCCCAGCCTAGAGTGTTTCTGAGCCAAATGCATGCATCTGTCTAAGCCTTTTTGGAAGGAAATTAGGTAGCTAAGTTAACGAGGACATCTCATCAGTTTTAATTTGCAGGATTGGGTTTGAACTGAACTGGATCAGGATCTTCCAGGTATCCTAAATTATTAAATATATGAAAAACAAGAGACCAAGCTGAAAGAGGAATAGAGAAAATGAGGCATGAAACCAGTGCTGGAGGGGCCCAGGGTATATGCTTATTTCGGCATAGGCAACTTAGCTCAAAAACAGAAACAATTGCTCAAATCAGGAAAAGACTGACATAAAACCTTTGCAGTCTTACTCAGATCTGCTTCAGTTTATGAATTGTATACAGTTTTTAAATAATCTCATTTCTGAGAAAGTATTTGTACCTACAAGTTTGGAGAGCACTCATGGTTAATTGGGAGCGTATGATTGAAGAGGTGATGATGTCTAGGACTCTGTCTTCATTTATTTCTAAAGCTGGAAACTATTGTCAAAAAGAAAAATAAAATACAGGAAAGATTTGTAGTTAAGGTGCTGAAATACAAACCCTGAAGAGCACAGTCTATTGGTACGCCTGCCATAGTATTCCTACTGGACATGGGTTTTGTCGCTTACACCATGCATTCATGTACTGCAACTGTTTTTATCTTTTTCTGCGTCCCTAATGAGACTTTTTGCTCTGATGTGCAAAAAACCCCACATCAGAATATTGAGTACTAAATCACACCTAACCAGGCAAGAAAAATAGGGGGTACTTCTGCCCTATCCCTGGTATCTTGGCTAGTAGCACCTCTTCGTGTGCAACTCCTATGTATTTAAACACATCTGCAGCTCATGCAGGTGCTGTCAAAATAGGAGCCAGACTAAAAACAATGGGAAACGAATCACTCTTTGCAGGGAAAAGTTTGAAAACTATAAAGCATGAAGCTGTGTACTAAATAGGAAGCTTGAAATTAATCCTGAATCACTCTTTCTGTGAGCGGGGTCCTCCTATAGCCCTGAGGGAGACTGCAAAGAAACTAAATTTTATTGTGTAATTGAAGAGCATACTGTAATCCCTGCAAACCTGAGATTTGAGTTAGGGATGTGAGGGCAGCCTCCATTCTAACATTTCTTAGCTTTTTTCTCTGCAATTTATTTTATAATCTTCACCTCCTTTTAATTTAGAGGGGTTTTTTAATATTATGGCTTTATAAATATTATAATCAGACAATGGAAATGATGGCTCGAGAAATACAATTGGATTTTCTGTCTGAAATAATAAGTCATGGATGGTACTTAGGAATTAATCTATTCTGGCTTTGTGGCAACTGTGGGTATTCAAAACTGAGACCTTCATTCCCCTACGAAAGCTGGTGGAATGTACGTAGGCTGCCGAGTTTTTGCATGTGCTTTTCAGTGCGGCGCGGGGGAGGCTTATTAGAAATGTAATGTTATTAGCAGTTTTTCTCAAATTGCTGATTTCCATCATCCTAGTAGTACAATAATGATGAAATTAAATTAAATTAGCATATCATATAGCATACTGAAAAAACTGTGAATACATTATAGTAATACAAGGCAACAGATAATTGCTAGCTTAATAAGAATTTATTTTTGGCAAAGATAATTCAACCTTTTTCTTCTTCCAATCACTAAGGACAGATTTCCTGGTTATTGATTATCTCCTCATCTTCTCTAAACTGAGTCAAAAGTCCTTCTTGGTTATATACGAATGTCTCTGCTCTAAATATTTGTAATTCTGTATCATTTGTCAGTGGAGGTGTCTTGTACCTGTAGGTAGCTGTCCATACTTTGACCTGTAGGACCTTGTTATGAACAGTTGGCGTCCAATTCTCTGAAACAAATTAGATTTCATTACTCGTATATTCACTTAGTGACAATATTATCTTACATGTCTTCTAAATAGAGGTTTTAATTATTCCATTTGGGGAAAAAAAAAAAAAAAGAACATTGATGGTTTAAGTGTATTTTCTAGAGCAAATATTTTCCCTGGTATTAAATTTTTAATAGGCTCAGGGTCAAAGAGAATGATTTGAATTACAGAAATGTTTTCTATTTATGTCTAATATTCTTCAAACTCGTTGAAATTATTTACTTTTTAAGCCTTAATTTATATTTACTCATTGCCACTTTCATTTTTTCCCCATCCTTTTTGCAGTTCCACCATGGTTTTTAGTTCACCCTTCAAATCTTTATGCCTACGAAAGTATGGATATTGAGTTTGAATGTACTGTGTCTGGTAAGCCTGTTCCTATGGTGGAGTGGATCAAGAACGGAGAAGTGGTCATTCCCAGCGACTATTTTCAGATAGTGGTAATTATCTGGCTTTCACTTATTAGATTTTTTTTAAATCAAGTTCTGAAATGTGTTGTGATATTTGATACAGTTGTTGCCTTCACAAGCATATTAGTCTTCCCAAAGAAAACAGATTACATATTAGGCACATTGCACTGGGATGTGTTTGGTCACGTATGTTGACACAGTCTGAATTCTAGTGATATTTGAATGAGATGCTATTGATAATATTATCTACCATGTTGCTTACTTCCCTTACCATTGTCAGTGGTCAAAAAAATAATACATCTCCAATGAAATAGTACATGGGTACAAGGGGTTAAGAGTCATAGAATGGGTTCGGTTGGGAGGGACCTTAAAGCTCATCCAGCTCCAACCCCTGCCACAGGCAGGGACCCCTTCCAGTGGAGCAGCTTGCTCCAAGCCCCTGTGTCCAACCTGGCCCCAAACACTGCCAGGGATGGGGCAGCCACAGCTTCTCTGGGCACCCTGTGCCAGCGCCTCAGCACCCTCACAGGGAAGAGCTTCTGCCTAAGAGCTCATCGCAGTCTCCCCTCTGGCAGGTTCAAGCCATTCCCCTTGGCGGGTCCCTACAGGCCCTTGTCAAAACTCCCATTTGACATAATTACAACTTTTCGAAGGGAATTGTGTGCCCTACCCAAACTAACATCCCTGTCCAGAATTACAATCTCCTTTAGTTTAAATGCCATTAGGACATGGGCTAAGAATTTCTGCTGTGTTTTATGAAAGGGGTGATCTAGCTGGCCTCTCCTGAAAGCAGTGACACTTGTAATTCACTTGTAAGTGAGTAGGGATGCTGGGGACCACCTCTTAAGCCATATGAAAATGCCTGTAAGCCACACGTTGTGGCTGGTTCAGAGACGTGGCTTGCTTCAACACTTTTTAATTTTCACCTTGTAACAAATAATATTGATTATCATCATGACTTTCAACTACTTACGACAAAAAAAAAAGCTTTTGTAATATGTTTTTCACGCAGGATAGACTTATTCTGCCATATGCAATAGAAATTCAACCTTTCTTTTTAATATTTTTCCTTATTAGAAGGCAGCCAGAGGCTGTCCAGAGAAAAGACAGGTCTCTTTTGCTGTCATGGATGTGTGGTAAAGGTGTTAGAAAATGGCTTCACTTAATAGTTAACGGAAGGTGCATTTCAGCCTGATAATACCCCTCACTTGAGATTTTTTACCCAACATAATTGGTTTCTGCTTGTGCTAACAAAAGCTAAAAGTTAAATCTGTTTCAAATGAAGTAAGCGCAGAGTGACATTTTCTTGAGGATCTCCATGCCTCAAGCCATATGGAGGGTTTGACCTTCAGAACAGTGTTTGTTCAAAGATGCAGAAGGTGAAAGTTCTTTTAAATCTTCCCTGCAGCAAAGGGTCAGGACAAAATTCAGAGCGCTGCTCAAGTGATGGCTGCAATTTGGAGCTTGAGAGAGGTGTTGGATGGACTCTGTGCAGGAAAGTGAATTCACCCTTGGGCCATAGGCACAATCATACAAAATGCGAAGATTACAACGTGTCAAGACGATCCTAATGAAAGTGCTTATGGTTATGTGCCTCCAAGGATCAGGGCTATGTGAGGAGGATTACATACACAGCACCATGTTTCACAGAATGGCCCTTCTGGAAAGGTTTTATAAACCACGTTCACTCTGGATGGTGTTTTTTCTAATTAATTCTCCCCACTTCCTTGCTTTCTCTTTTGTTTTCTCTCTAGGGTGGCAGCAACTTAAGGATTCTGGGCTTGGTAAAGTCAGATGAAGGTTTTTATCAGTGTGTAGCTGAAAATGAAGCTGGAAACGCACAGGCCAGTGCACAGCTAATCATCCCAGAGCCTGGTAAGATGCAAAGGACATACAGAATTGTAGATGTAATTAATGCTATTAACAAAAAAATCCCAAATGAGCAGCTACTATTCTTTACTCCCTCTTACTTATCCAGCTGGCTGACTGTAGTTAAAAGCGTGTCCAGGCTATCAGATAGTTTGAGGTATTTTGTTCACTGAGGCAATTACAAATGCTGGCCTTGTCCTCAAAATTACCCTGGAGGCTCACTAAACCTGCATGAAAAGCCAACGGCAATGCCTTACTATGAATTAGTGGGCTTTGTCCGGCTGAAATATGAGGTGATCACAAACTGGTGGGGTTATGGAATAAAGTAGTCCATAAGCAACAGAGAATTTTACCCGATGTAGTTCTGCATTAAGCTGTTGTAGAACACTTGTCTCGGGGAAAAAGAAGAGAAGAAAAAGAGGGGAAGAAAAAGAAAAATTGGCAGTGGGATATCAAGTGCAGCCAGCCATTGAGATCAGAATGTTTGTGTCTACGTGCTGACAGGATGAATGTTGCTTTTTGTTGCTGTTACTTGGAAATTAATACGTGTTTGGTTTTATGGACAGCACTGTGCAGCAGATTAAGCGTTTACTACTTTATGGGGTTTTAAGTAACAGAAAGATGTCTTCATCTTAAACTAGCTGATACGCAAAGCATAGATAAAAGCCTGTCAAAGTTTCTGGGTTATAAATGATTAATGACCTGCACTGGGCTGCAGGTTACACTTTCTACCTCTCGTGGATTATAGCACTAAGATGAGAACACAAAAGTGTGCTGAAGCATTGTTCTTTCTCTGATTGGGATTGAGAAGAGCAGGATCTTGGTAGACCACAAATTGTCGACACAACCTTGCTGAGATCAACTAACCAGCCTGATAGCTCATATCATAGTATTTCTTTGGGAAATACTTTGAAAAGTTTCCACACAGCATCAGTGTGAAGTTTTAAAGCTTTGCAAAAAATCTGGCTGTTTGGAAATAGAGAGGTAAGTATGGCTGCAGTCCATTTTCTTGTTAGCTGCAGCAGTCTGACTCTTAGGAACTCCTGTCTGAACACTGAGCAGGAACATTTGCTGAGATTTGTCGAAGTTCAGTCCTGCAAGCTATTGTGTTACGAGCACTGTTATCCATATTGGTTTCGGGTAGTACAGAGGGATGTAGCAGTACCATGTGGCCACAGTTGAGATCATCTGGTAGACGAAAGTGAGGAGTAAGCACCACTGAAATCCAGAGATCCCCAGTTTTCAAAGTCCTGTTTATGCAAATAATTCAGGCAGATGCAAATACGAGCTGGGTTCAGGTTTCTCCATCTATTTTCTCTCTTGGTCCCACATGCATGGCTGAACATGGATTTTGCATATCATTGAAGATCCCTGTCACTCCTTTTCCCTTTACTTTCAGTATCTCTTTCAGCCTGTTCTCTTTCTTTTCTCTCCCCTACCTGAAAGCAGCTCCAGTAGCTACTGGGAATCCATCAGAGACCTCTCAGCCACTCTCTCCCTCTCCCCTAGATGCTCATGCCCCAGACACTTCACAGCCTTGGAACGATGCAGCTTGGTGAGACATCCAGGAAGGAGGGGGTGTGGGTAAATAGCAAAGTAATGTCATGTCCACCGAGTCATTATCATTATCCTCCTGCAGCCTGGGGTCCCTCCTAGCCCAGCTCTGCAGGACTAATCGGCTAATTGGTGGTCGGGTATCAGGATCGAGGGACAGATACTTATTTGGGTTCCCACTTCTTCCCCCCCCTCTGTCTGGTGTGGTGCAGCATCTTGCCAGGTGCGCATTTCCCTCTGTGCAGTCACCAGAGATGATGATGAGGTTACCTTCCCTTGGAGACAAATGTGAAAATGAGAAGGCACAGTCAAACGTATTTCAGTGGCAGAAAAAAGAAGTCTATATGATACTGAGGAAGGCTGGCTGGGGTCATCATCGTCCTGCTCAGAAACAACTTGCTCCACTTCAGATCTCACTGTGGGATGTGCACATTTGTCTTGCCTTTGTATTTTGTTGTTTAGTTGGTTGGGGTTTGTTTCTTTCCTTCTGCTGTCTTTTAAGCTGAATCTCACATGCAGTTCATACATTTGGATTATATTTAAACACGTGAACATCTGAAGGAAGCAGGCCATCTCCTACTGTAGGGGGCTTTAATCTGGTGTTAGAATCATCCTGAGGGAAACTGGGCAACTCATTGCTGCTCCCACCTAGTCATTGAAAGTGAAATGCTGTCAGTAAATTTCACGCTCTGTGTTAGTATTTATTATGTTTGGCATTGAATTAAAATTAAAATAGAAGAAAATGAAAAGAAAATCCTAAAGAGCTACAGGACACCATTGTAAATTGTCTACATTTCCCTTTTTAAGTGATGGATTACTTTTTTTCTGGTTATTTAATCAGATCTTCAAACAATGCTGCTCCAATTCCTTTGAGATGAAGGGAGGGCCGGCATGCACAGATGGTGGAGAAGCCAGCTATAAATACAAATGAAGCGCTAGGGCTGGCCATGGCAGGAGGAACGCACTCCCCTCAGCTTTGATTTTGTTGGATCATGCTCAGCATGCATTTGTTTTTATGAGAGCCTGATGAAGTTTCAATATACTCATTAATAGTTATCATCTCTTACTGCAGCCATTGAGGTAGAAGGGGCTTAAAGGAGACATGCTGAATGCTTATCTGAGCTTCGTTTTCCTGAAAGCCAGGGTCAAAACCCTTCATTGAACTAATAATGATTTATTCTAACAATTATTTCTATGCCAATCTTACATCAGGGTAAAACAGTCACTACTTTTTTATTTGATGGTGATTCATAAGAGTATAGTTTGTTTTTATTTATTGCAAATAATATGGATCATATAGTAATTTAAATATGTTGCGTAAGTTCTGTTGTGGGATTTTGTAAGTTTTAATCAGGTAGAAGGACACAATGCAATTGCTCCTATTACTTTTGTTGTTATGCCAATATGTAGATTCACATCCACTGCTGACTACCTTTAACTCTAGGGGCTGAAGTAGCAACACAGAAGATGACATTAAGCAAATACAAATGAGCTCAGACTGAGACTGAAAGTACCCCTTGCAGATGCTGTGATGCTAAATTATAATTAGACAATACTGAAATGAGAAGTGAAAGCCAGAAGGCTGCTAGCTCATACAGATAACAGCTTCCAATTTTAGTATTCCACATGTGGCTATAGGGTGCTTATAACTATTTTGATATCTGTTGCTTAGACTATAAAAAGCCAACGAGTTCCTTGAGAAATATAAAATGTCCATTCTTTTAAGTCGAGATTATGACTAGAGAGGCATTGTACTTAACAGTGTATTATGAATGGGAGCATAAGTGACAGTTGCTGGTCTGCAATGCACAAGTTAGTCAATAAATCAAAGTATATTTGTTGATGCCAGCACACTTGGGAAAAAGGTGGTTGGGATTGTTTCTACTCCTCTTTCTTTTCTTACCATTAACAATCATAATCTTACCCTCTTAGGAAGAGATTGCTCACCATTTTATAACAAGAAAAACAAGAAGCAACTTGAAAGGCTTCCTATTTCTGTAAAAACCAAAGCAATAAATGAGTCAGATTTAAGGATTTCAGTTCTTTCATCCCCAGCACATACATTCTGAGTTTATCAGTCCACTGTGCTGCTTGGTTTCCTCTATTTCTGCTCTTTAGCTCTGCTAAAGTGACTTTGTGCAGTCTATGTGAATGTGTGATCATACTGAGCAGGTACCAGGAATAAAGCCTACAGTATGTACTTATGATTACATGTACTGGAAAAAATTCTCAGCAAGAAGAAGCAGATGAAAGACATCTCAGCTGTCTTGGCTTTATGGCTGTTTAAAACCTGTTATTTGCACACCTAAAGAATGAATAGAGAACAGCGTGGTGCTGAGTGATGGATGTGCATAACTTCAGCTGAGGAGAGTGTTCCAGAGGAAAGTCTATAAGGAACTCCCACACCATTATTTGCTTTATGCCAGTGGCTTCTCACAGATTCATCCTTCAGATATTCACAAGATGTGTGGACCAATTGTTTTATTATAGCAGATGGAAGATCAGATAAAGACAACCCTGAAATAATCAACTTGTGTATAGGGTAGGATAATTGTTAGCTATGTCTGGCAAGATACCTCTTTCTAGATAAACTGAAAATTTAGAAGCTCATAAATATACCCTCACCCAGAGACTGGTACGAGTGTTGTAGATCACTCTAGACTCTTGGCATTATAAGCAGCAGCTAAGTTGGCAAACAGAGCAACAAAGAAAATTATCTCTTTTGCAGTATAACTAATGAATACCTGGGCTTTTTGTGCTGCCAAGCAGGGAGGGGACACAGCCCCAGATTATTTGAAGAAAGGATTGCATGCCCATCCACTGGTGAACTCCAGATGCTGAAGAATGTCCAAAGACAGGTGTTGCAGGGAGACAGGAAAGGGTACAGAGAGCTGATGGTCATGGGTAGCCTGGTCCTTGGTGACTCATCCTCATTGAGTGGGTGCTGAACTCCAAGCCCTGCTGCTTGGGCTCAGCTTTCTCTGACATTCACTTTGTCATTTTCATCACGTACTTTTTCTTTCTTTTTAATTCCTCAGCTTACAAGTTGCATAGCTCCTTCTCATGTCAGATTTTCAGCTTAACAGCTAGCAGATTTTAGATTTCTGCATGCAAAAGACTTTGCATTTCCGTATAATGAGGCTGAGATTGGGAAACCCAGGAATTACTTCTTTTGCTAAGGATAAACAAGGGTTGAATCAAATAATTTTAAAAAACCTTCCTTTCTCCTATTACAAAAACATTCTGTGATGTGCCATGTACCTTCCCTTTATTATCATAAATATTATTTAGTATTATTTATATTTGATTACATATATTAATGAGTATTTATAATTATAGTACAGTGTACAGTATTAATAATTACTTCCTCCCTAAAAAAAACCCAAAATGAAATCCATCTCTATACTAAAAACTGAGCTTATATTGGCATTAAAACTTCACATTTTTAGCCC